CTCCGCGGCACCGCGGGGCTCCGCCGCCAGGCCCGCGCGCCCTCCGCCAGCCTCGGGCGTCCGGGCTTTCTCTTGGGCTTCGGAGCCTTCCAGACCCTGAAATAGCCGGAGGCGTTGGTGCCGCTGACCCTGAGGAGTGCGCCCCTAGTTTCAGACTTGGGCGCTTCGCCCCAGTGGCGGCGGCACTTCCTGCGCACTTGGTAGCCCGCATTTCCCAGCTCCTTCTTGAGCGTGGCCATAGTCAGCCCTTCGTGCGAGGCGATGGCTCCGAGCAGCAGCTGGGATACTTTGAGCACGGAGAGCGGGCTCCGCCTCTGCGGTGCCCCGAGGGGTTTTGGCGTGGGCTGCGGGGTTTTAACTTCAGCGCCTTGCAATTCGCCACTGGGCTTGGCCGCCTTAGCCACGGCCCCGGTCGCCTCGGCCACGGCCCGGGTCGCCGCAGCCATGGTCCCGCTCCCCCTCCACGCGGCCGCGGGCTTTGGGTCTCAGCTACGGAGGAATGAGCTCGGGCTGTGGCCGCGCGGCCACGTCACAAAGGCGGCCCGCGGAGAGCTTCAGTCCTCGCAGGGGGCGGGCGGCTCGCTCCCCCGGAGGGGCCTTTTTAAATTTTAATAACGTACATTTCCTAATGGGTCTAAACCAGTCCAGATCTTCCACGCCGGCGCGCTTGGAAGAATCACCTTGATAATCCTCCGGGTTTTGTTTCCTGCTCTTACGCTCACACTTCCCATTGATCCTGATCTCGACCCCTTTTTGAAGGTCACTAGTTTTCTGTCAAAAATAGCGCACACCATCTACCCACATTTCCCTAAGGTAAGAGACACTGTTCTCAACTATTCAGAACAAGTCACATGATGCCTTTAAAAAGTGAATGTGGTAGGTAGTCTGTAAAACACAGTCCGTCCTAGAAACGCCCACTTTTAGGTCCCTTCGGTTAGGTAGCTGCAGTGGTGTCCCCCTGACTCTCCACAGAGCAAGGAACCACTGTGGTACCCACACCTAGGAAGTTCAGATGCCTCCTTCCCTTAGATTGGAACAATCAGAATCCAAAGAGCCTAAGAACACCGGTCTAATCATTACTCTTCGAGCAGACTTTGTGCTTATCTCCCTCCACTCCCCTCTTCTTGGGCTGCCCACCCCCTTTCTCTGCCCAGATAAATCCTGCTCGTCCTTCAAACTCTGGATAAATCATTTCTTCACTGAAGCCTCATCAGACTTTCAGTCAAATGATTTTTCTCCTCTTAACTACCACAATTACTTTTACAATCCTATACTGCTTTTTCCTTTATTTTAAATTAATTTGGTATTAGAGGGTACAATGTGCTACAATATTTTTTAAAAGAAAAAACAACCACCCTGGCCTTGGAACTGGAAAACATGGATGCACATTCTAGTTCTTTAACAGCTATATGACATTGATAAGTCCCTTCATATCTTTGGATCTGACTTCTTTAAAAAATAAAAAGCCAGTAATCCTTCCCTACCAACATCACATAAAGGTTCAGAGGAGGTGACGATAGATGACAAAAGACATACAATTGTTTTATTCTGACTGTTTATGTCCTTCCAACTAAATAAAAAGGTGCCTGAGAGCCAGATAGTTTTTGAATTTCTATGTCCAATCCTGCACCTAACACCCTTTCATCATACGTATCAGGCACTTGATCGAGTCTGCTTAAACTCCTCCCTGGTGAGGAGGCTTTCTCTGGACTCCCTGGAAAGTCAGTAGAAAGGAACAGGATGAATTTCAGAGGGTTGGAAATGAAGGCAGCTACTTGCTCAAGGACCTCTTATTTTGGACACCGTTTAGCTGGGAAGAGCTCCAAGAGTTATTCAGGAAATACTTCAAACTGCAAAGTATATCATACTTTCCCAGAGGACATTCACATATGCACACAGTCCACTGTGGCAATTTCTCCCAGGAATCAAAGTCCTAGGAAGTAGTTTAGACCTGCACTTCTTAAACATTAATGTGCACTTCATAAGTGTAAATTCTAATAATTGGTTCTGGGATGGGGCCAGAAGTTATACTTTTTAACAAACTCCCAGGTGGTTCCATCTGGTTAAAATACAAGTGTGGGGGTTGGGGTGGGGGTT